CTTAGTCACCCCCGCGAATCGTTCTTTATTTCTCTCAGCAAAGGAAACCCCAAGTAAGGCTTTCCGGCCAGAACAAAAACTACAACCTGTCGCCTTCGAGAATCCGTCGGGTGCCGCCCCTCTGCGCCTGCGCCCCGTGCCCGGCCCGCTGACGCATGCTTATTACGTAAGCAATGAGAGTCAATGAGGGCGCCTTTGGTCGGCCTCACCCGGGGCGCACGCGCAGTTTTAGGAGCCGCCTTTTTACCCCAAGCCGAGTCCTCTCTTTATTTCTAGTGGAGATTCACCGTGGTTGTTCCTCCTCTGCGGTGTGAATCCTGGGATCATTTCACTGACCGTTATTCAGGAAAGAAGGGGTGGGGAGGAGTAAGCTGTATGGGAGCGCTGACCTTCCTGCGCTATGTCTAATACTGTCTTCTCAGTTTTGATTAGCCCATTATCCTCTTATAACTGAGGTCGATAAGCTTGTGAACTCCCATGAAGAATTTTTCCATTCTGTTCTAGCCAACACTACACAATTGTCATTTAAAAAATGCTCTACGTCTGGGGAGAAAAAGCAAGCCAACCCAAGCCTCGCCACCTGCTCCTAAAGTGCCCCAGTAGGGCGCCAACCCGAATGAACCAATTGTGCGGACGAATCATTGTTATACATGTGATCTCATTGTTTGGTTTTAAACCATAATCGTAAGTGTATTTTTACACTAACTAAAATTTAGCTTCTCAAAGCTATTCATCTAAGAAAATGATTTGAGTTAGAGAAGCTTATTTACTCAAAACAAATAACTCAGAATTAAGTACCGTCCAAATCAGGGTTTCCGTTTAATAATGCTGTCATGGCTCAAACATTGTAAGAATTGCTCTTTTAGAATTTTTCACCACCAGTTATAGTGAGCCACAATGAGTACTGAAATCTGAACTGCATGCTAATAATTTTGTAAAACCATACCTTTTAAAAAGGAACCATTTGGAGGACTGGCACAGAAGGCAAGTGTAACTACTGAAATGAGAGTTATTAATTAAAGTAATCATTACGTGGTATAGCACTTTGCAGTTTAAAAAAATGTCTTCACATATTTATCTCAATTGGTTCAATCATGAACCCTACTCAGCTAATCAGTGGTGAACTTAAAATAATGGGATTATCTTGAAACAGTTCATGACAAGTTATGACATGAATGATCATAATCATTCCTCATTCATTCTGAGAATAGGATAAGAAAAGCTTAATTATATTAGGCAGAATTGGGTTATCTAAATCCCAGACATGAGGACGATTTGGAGTCTCCTTTCCTGATGTAAGACAGGTTAACAATAGCTACCATTTTTCATACACTTAATTATATGCCAGGCACTGTCCTAAGCACTTTAAATATGTGATTACATTTAATGCTTACAGTAACTCTCTGAGGTGGTCACCATCACAATGCCTGTTTTGCAAAGGAGGAAACTGAAGCCCAGAGAGGTTACTCAAGTTATAACTGCTAAGCAGCAAAGCCAAGTTTCCCCTGCCCTCCTGTTTAAGTGAAAAAATGAGGTGCCTCTGGATATTTCTCTGGATACTATTTATGTACTCATAAACACTTTGATAAATATTTATTAGATTAATTTATGAATAAATGCAGGTTTAAATAAACTGACATTCACAGCTATTGTGTAAAGCGGGCAAGTCATTTCTATTTTACAGCTGATAAAATTCTAGAGAGATTAATGGCATGTAATTAGGTAGCAGTAGAATCTGAGCTGATACAAAGATCTCCTGATAAAGTTCCCAGGGTACCTGGAAAGGTTACAAAAGATGACAGTTAAAGCTGAGTAAAGGCAGGGTGAAGGTAGAAGGCAGTGGTAAAATACAGAACAGAGGTCAAAGCCAAACTGAATAGCAGAAAAATGGTGGGTCCACCAGAAAACAAGTAAATCTTCCCTCAATTCTACTGCTCATTTTACTTTTCAAAGAGTTTGTTAATATTCGTGGCAAGTAATAAGGTTTAATGGATATATTTTGAACGGATAGACAATCTCATCATGCCTAAGCATCACAAATATTAATTTAAAAAAATCTAAGTACAAGAACACTAAGAAAATAGATAATAAAATGACAAGGAAATAGCAACGGAGAGACTTTCAAGAAAAGAGGTCGTAATATGAAATGCCTACATACTTGAGATGGCAAGAAGTATTCAGCTATTATCAAAGAGGAGGAATTCTCTAACTAAAGTGTAGCCGAATGCCAGGAACCTGTAGTATGTATACAAATTAGAATGTCTAAAGGAACAAGTACTGGAAAAACAATTCTATATACTATAGTGGCAAACAACATTTAAAGAAATTATTTTTACTTCTCCCCCCTCTCTTCACGCATTATTATTACTAACCGAGCTCTGTGTCATGATCATCTCCTGCTGTTCCATAGCAATATTCCATGATCTTAGATGGCTGGTTTACTTAGATCTATACTTTGCTGCTTATGCTGCTGTCTTTGCTTGTCCCAGTCTGCTGTCATTTGCACCAGGCCTCTTACTTATGAAAGGTGTCCCACAAATATGTCATAATCTTTTGTTTAGTTTGTCAGTGGTCATGGCAACTGTTAAGCAACTGGTTAACCTTTAGTTACCATAAGAGCAAGTCAAAGACAAGTTGAACCCAAGCCCACAAAACACAAATACCCCAAACCTCCCAAAAGATTTACATGAAGGGTAAAAGAAACTAGGTAGGCAAGAATGATGTGAATAGAATCTGGAAATAATGGCCAAAGTAGGATCCATTTTCTCACATGTCCTTGAGTTTCTCCTAATTATTAAGCTTCCCAAGAGTTAGGGATTCTTTTTTTAAAGATTTTATTTATTTATTTGAGAGAGAACATACATGAGAGAGAGCACAAGTAGGGGAGAGGGGCAGAGAGAGAGGGAGAAGAAGACTGCCAGATGAGCAGGGAGCCTGATGCAATGTAGGGCTTGATTCCAGGACCCTGGGATCAGGACCTGAGCCAAAGTCAGGTGCTTAACCAACTGAGCCAACTAGGCACTCCTGAAAGTCAGGGATTCTACTAAATTGTTTGACTCTTCAGAGTTAGGAACTCTGCATGTGGGCAACAGATGATTATTTACTAGCTATTGTGAACAATAGAATGTACTACATTTTTTTGAGCAGATGAAGAGGTTGCTGAGATCTTGAGATAAAAAGAGCTACATAAATTGATCAAAACAGAGCTTGCTTTTCTAATTCAGTTGACAGAAAAATATAGGCAATCTAAAGGAAATGATTCAAAAATTCTTAAAAACTCTGTATTATAGGCAGCAAATATTAACACTGAAGAATAAAATGATTGGGCTTGGCAAGTTTAATACGGGACAACTAAGTTGAAGAGGCAGGAAAAACTCTTTTTGTTAAATTTTGAAACCAATTCCATAACTATTAAATTTCCTATATTTCTCCGTATGTATGATTAACACAATATAATACCATCTTTATCCCAGGACCATTCAAGTAGTGAAGATTGTATTTCTAAAGCTTTTAGAATGGGGCCTAGCACACAGTAACTGCTATGTGGGTGTTTGTTAAATAAAATAAATAATTCCAGGCCTCACACATGCTGAATGGCTATTGTTAGGGTCTCCGTAAATCCTAGAAAGAAAAAAAAAAATTGGCTCTGTTCCTTGTTCTTCAGGACGTTTCCTAATATTGTTGAAGCTAACAGTGCTTGTAAAACGGAGATGAGTGCTTGCCACTCGCTATATGAACTCTCATTAGAGTCTCTTTATTTTTACACCATTGCTTTTGTTTTTTCATTCCTTTGGTCTAGTGCATCCAAATAGATTATCTGAAAAAGAAATCAGCACCTCCAAAAACCAACAAAATCAAGGGATTTAAGAAATGGGCGGAGATCAGAGTTCAGAGCAAACAAGTTGGCACTGGAAAAAAACTTCCTGGAAACCACAAGTTTCTATTTCCCGTGAATATCGGCCCAAACTCCTTTGAACGAAGATGCTCCAGGTCTCCAAACTATTGGTTCTTTTCAAAATCGGGCGCCAGGGTCCCCCGGCCAATGCCAGAGAGGAAGGCGCCGGGCCCCCTGGAAACGCTCCTCCCCTTTGGGGGAGGTTTGCTGGGCGGGGCTCCCACGCATGCTCCGTGCCCGCGGGCTCATTGGCGCGGCCGCCGGGCGCGTGCGCAGGACCCGATGGGTGCCCGGACGCGGAAGACCTGGCCCCGCGGAGGTTCCCGCTTCTGAAGCGTGGGAGGCGGAAGAGGCGGCAGGTTGTAGATTTTGGTCTTGGCCCCAAGGGGTTCCTCCGGGCCATTAGAACCCAAGAGAGGAAGAGGAGGCACCGCGGCGGCGGCTGAGGGGCCGAACCCCCCACCTGTCCTCCAGGCGGGGAGGGGGGGTAGGGAGGGGAGAAGCACCCCTCACAGGGCTGAGGAGCCTCCGGGACCGGGTCCCAGAGCATGGGGGGCTGGACCGGGTCCCCGAGCATGGGGAGCTGGAGCCGTCGAGGCCACCCGGCCGGGCCCTGCCCGACTGTCAGCTTTGCGGTGCTAGGGCTGCCCGGGCAGCCGCGGTGTTTGTAGCCCGGCCCCGCTTGAGGTCGTCGGCCGAAAGATAGCAACATGAGTTCCGCCGCTGCCTAGTTTCCTCCCCCTCCTCTTCTCCCTCTGTCCGCTTCCTTCTCCTTCCTCTCTCCTCTTCCCCGCACCTCGTCTTTTTCTTTCCCTCCGTCGTGTTCCTCTTTTCCCTCCACCCTGCCCTCCTCTTCCCCCTCGGTCCTCCTCCTTACCCCCATCTTATTCCTTTCCCTATCCTGCCCTCCTTTTACCCTCTCTGTTTTCCTGCTTTTCCATCTATCCGCTTTTCCTGCCTCTTGTTGTTTTCCCTCCATCCTTCTCTTTTCTCCATCCTCTTCCTTTATTCTGTCACCGTCCACCACCACCACTACCACCTCCCCTTCCTCCTCCCCTCACTCACTATCATCCTCCCTTCCTCATCCTCATCCTCGTTCCCTCCTCCTCCTCTCCTGCTTTTCTCCGCCCCAGCCCCCGCCCCCAAGCCTCCGCCCCTTAGCCCCCGCCCCCAGCTGCCAGTCCCCAGCAGCTCAGTCCTGCAGTGAGAGTCTTGGGAGTCCATAGCTAAGCACCAGGAGCTGAGCCCTGTCCGCTGTGCCTGCCTGCAAGTCTCCGACATGGCTCAGGAGAAAATGGAGCTGGACTTTGAGCCTGATACATCTGATGGGGGCACCCTGAGGAGATCCAGCAGCGCTCCCCTGATCCATGGGCTCAGGTGAGGCGGGTTGGGGACGATGAAGTACGGAGTTCAGGGGTTCCTCGACCCCGTGCAAGCAAGCTTCCTTCCCTAAAGTGAGAGTTGGCGCTCGTTTGGGTTTTTTAAACTGAGGGGGTGGGGACTTGTTTGCTTGACAGCCGCTTGGGTCCCAAGGTGGAGTGAAAGTTTGACCCCAAACTCTGGGAACTGTGGGAAAAATGAGGCCCTCTTTACCTGGAGCTCTGTTGGCCCACTCTGAAAGGATCTACAAGAAGCTTCTGGCTCTTCTAACAGGTTGCTTGCCCTGCCTAATTTACACCACTGAATGTCAGACTGAAGCCCCTGGAATTAGACTTGCAACTTGACACCTGTCTCTAAGAGCTGCTATTTCTAAGCTTAGTTTAGGAACCCTGGCATTAACAGAACATTTACTTTAATAAATCACAATTTATCTAATAACTTGTAATCAAGTAGCGTGTTCATGGCACATTAAGTGATTTGCATTTGTCATAATGTTTTCAGATCCTAAAACTGCCAGAAATGCATTCCAGTGAATTAAAAAAAAAGGAAGGGTGTCGTGTAGCTTAGGTCAGTGAAAATAACAGGTTTTAGAAAACAATGGAAAGAATTAACCCTTGAATTTTAGTGGTAGGGTCTTATATTTTTGTGTTAAGTCACCAGAGGGTCTATTTTAAGGTAGAATCTTAGGATAGTGAAGGTTAGGTTGGAAAACCTCCTGAGCCTAGTACATTTCCCTCTTATAAGTAGATAATTCATCTTAGTAGAGAGCTAATTTGTGAGACCCTGTAGAAATGGAATTAGTCCAAAAAAGGGGATGGGAGTAGAATTAGCCAAAATCATTACTTAAGCACAGTGAAAGCAAAAAGAAATAGGTAATTCTTAGCTATGAAACTGATTATAATATCTGTATTTTGGGGGGAAATGGAATTAACTCATTTTCTTTTATTAAATTTTGAAACTGAGGGAATGATGGAGTGACTGCTTTCCTAATGCTGTCTTCAGCTCTGCATTGATTTTTGATTCTGTAGGCATAAATCGGTCTTTTGGCGTTGTTTTTTAAATCTGGTAAGCAAGCAATTGCTAGGGACTAGGGTGATCCTGCTGACCTGCGTTTAGACTGTTGCAGAAATAACACACTGTTTTTTTGAATCAGAAATCAAGTAATTACTTGCAGGATAGCATGATGTGACAGAAGAAGGGGTGAGGAGACTAGACCTAGTCCCAATATTTCTCCCTGTGATCAGGAGTGACTCACTTAGCCGTTCTGAGTGTTTTCTCATTTGAAACTTAGGAGCACTGAATTAGGTGATCTCAGTGGGCCCTTGAAGCCCAATTCAGTTCAGTCCTGAAAATCATTTTTGACCTCTTATCATGGGCATGGCACTCTGCTAGGCACTGCAGGGACGTTATACAAAGAGGAACAAAAGGCCTCGACCACAGAGTTTAAGACACAGGCACGCTTTTCTTTAATAAAAGGTAAAGTCAGTATCTCAAGAAGCATCTCATTTCCCATTGTGCTCTTTGGACTCAAAGGAGGGAATGCTTGCATTCAGTTTGTGGATTGAAGAGAGGCCTCATGGAGTGGATTGCGTTGAAATGGGGGCTCGAGGAGAGGAAGGATTTGGATGAATGGTGGTGGGAGGGAGGACACCAGAGGCAGAAGAGGCAACGGGAGCAAAACTCTAGGCATATTTGTCTAATTGCACAGCAGGTTCACCGGCAGAACACATATTTAGGGCAACAGTGGGAGATGTGCTGTGGAACAGGGCTCCTCAGCCCTTCTTGCCCTCATGGCACACACAGAAAGCAGTAATATGTTTAGGTCTTCTGGGGTAAACAGATGAGGCTGCTCCTGTCTGGTGGGAACCGGTTTGGGGGCGTGTGCTCTGACCAGAAGCAGCTGGAGGCAACCAGTCTGGAGCTCCGCCCCATACCTCTCAGCTGCCCCCCAACCACTGAGGAGATCAGTATCTGGGCAAACCTGTCATCCACAGCACACCACCACTGAAGCTCTGAAGAGGCTGGTGAGGTGTTTATTCACTGTACGGAATGAGGAGCATGGAAGATTTCATTGTTGACTAGAGGCTTGGCAGTTCCCTTAAACGGGAAGACCTTATTAATTTTATTTTTATTTTTTTAGTGAACTTTCCCAGGTTTTTCAGCCTTATACCTTTAGAACTCGGAGGAATAGTACAACGATTATGAGCCGTCATAGCCTGGTAAGTATAGAAGTAAGTATTTTTCATGGTATGGATTGGGGAAAACACTTTCCAATGTAGTCTCTCGTTCTCAAGACGATGCGCTATGCACCATTGTTCACAAAAGAAAAAGAAAATTATTTTACCTACCTCGCTCATGAGTGGCCATTGTCAGCTTTCAGTGCCAAAAAGAGATCTGGTTAAAGTTTTTTCCTGGCTGTGGGACTTTGTATTTAAAAAAAAAAAAAAAACTATTCATTTTTTTTTTGTCACTGCTTGCATCATGGTTATGAGGTAAATCAGGATTGACTTCTAAATATAGCTGAAAAAGTGGTCTTTATTTGTCCTAGGAAGCAAAAATCATTTAGACAGTAGCAGAGTGTTTATTTCTGACACATAGCTGTTGGACAATGTTATTTACCCAAAGTAAGCGCTCCTTTATAATGCCTATATTTATATTCCCGGTAGAGTTGCTAATAGTGACTGTTTTATATAGCCAGAGCTGTCAGGGATCATCTTATTAGCCAGTCGCATTGGGAGAAATTATGATGAGGTTTTTTATGTAGTAGCACTTCACATGCGGACCCCACTTAGCCAGTAGCTGCAGCGCTCTGGAAGACATCTGAGATGTAAGCAAACAGACCTGTGAATGGCTGTGCTTGATTTCCATAGTCTGTGCACAAAGGTTCGTCATTTATAGGGAGCCTCTCTGACCTCTGAATCATCTAAAATTTATGCACAATTATAATAAGCTTCCAACTCGGTAGTGTGGAGAAGCAGCAAATCAGAAGAGGTACATTCGGGTTTAAGGTATACTAATAGCTGCTAGCAGGGGAGGAGAGGGAAAAACTGAAAAGCAGAGAGAGGCTTTTAAAAAATTAGTCCGTGGCTTAGTACAAGGGCTGAGAGCCCGTTAATAGACCCTGAGGACCTCGCCGGCATAGAACTGTAAAATACTTGATGTTCTTAAAGATACCCAGGTCATTAACCTTTGCTTAAATTATAGTAGTACCTATGCTTATGTGGTGTTCTACATGTTACAGAGTCCTTACACACTTGTCATTCTCATAGCAACCCACATGAAGTCGGCAGGACAAAAGATGTTTTTCCCAGTTCAAAGAGGCAGCAGCTAAGACTCAGCCGATAGAAGCGACTTGCTTAGAATCACATAATTGGGAAGCGGCAGGGCCGGGATTAGAATAGAGACACGCCAGAGCCATTCTGTTTGGAAAAATCTGTTTAAGAAAGCGGGGGGGGGGGGGAAATTACAATGCTTTCAAGAAAGATTTCCAGCTGAAGTGGCTAAACATACTTAAAGGGGAAAATGTTAGCGATCTGGAGGTTTGATTCATGTCACCTTCCCCGAGGATGCTGGAAAAGAGAATTTAATTTTGCTGTGTTTATGAAAAATGTTTCCACTTGTTACCCAGCTGTGTTCCTGATATCAGTAGTAGAGCAAAGAAGGGAAAATGAATTTGCCTCTTTACACTTGACTTTTTCTCTTTTCTAAACGTGAAGATTCTTATCCACTCTGTCTAGGCTCGTCTCTCCCTCGCAACAAATATCTTTTTCTCGGGCGGCACTACAGTCCCTAGGTTTGCTGGAGGAGCCATGTTGATTCACTGCTCTGTGGTGATGCTTACGTGGTTCTTCCCTCCATCCCCTTTTCCTTTTGAGCTTCCTGTTTCAGGAAGCCTTCTGCAGCACCCTTTGGGTACTTCTGTCGTCGCTGATTACACCTTACATGTTATATCGCAGTGTCCTCTATAAATCTTTTAAAAAATATTTTATTTATTTATTTGACAGAGAGCACATGAAGAAGGGTAGCAGGCAGAGGGGAGAGAGGGAGAAACCGACTCCCTGCTGAGCAGGGAGCCCGACTCAGGACTCGATCCCACGACCCTGAGATCATGACCTGAGCTGAAGGCAGACGCTTAACCCACTGAGCCACCCGGGCCCCCCCACCCTATAAATCTTAATACACTTCCCTGTGTCTTGTATTAACCTGCCAAAAGCAAGGTGTGGAGCAAAGTGGAAGGGAGGGGACTGGCACATGAAGATGTGCAGAGATAGTTTCTTCATGATTTGACAACGGATTAGGTATAAATGCAGGGAGAAGGAGTACTCCAGAGGACTGAACTTTTATTTCTTAGTGACCAGTGGAAAGGTGTTGCCTGTATAGGAGTAGGGAAATTTCAAGAAATTGGTCATTTGAAGGGCCAGGAGATAAATTCTTCCTGGGCATTTTGGGTTCCAGGTGCCACTTGCTCCATGCTGTTCTCCAAAGCAATATTCAAATTTTGAAAAAAATTCTGCAAGCTTCCTACACCTTTCACTTTTGGCAGATGACCCTTCCCTATTCACAGTTGTGCAGTTGGCTGTCTCGTATACATGTCAGCTTTCTTCTCCTGAAAATGTCTTTACCTTCATATGGGGCACTTTCTCCTAATGGTTCCTAGATTTTCTGAGTCTCCTGTCACTTTGCTCAGGCTCTTGTCTACCCTCTAGTCCCTTCCTGCCTGGCTTTTTTGCTCCCACTTTCTTCTGACTCACATATCTAATATCTGGAACACAGACTTGTCTTCTTTCATAGGCCTCTCTTTCCGTTTTCCTTCCACCCCTCTGAGCTTTCACAGAGCTTAATCCACAGCACACTTCCTCTCATTTTTCATCTCCTAGTTTCTTGCCAACCACTCAGCCAGTTTGTGATCTCACTACCTCTATCACCACACTATTAGAAAACTGTTCTCAGGGGCTCCTGGGTGGCTCAGTGGGTTAAGCCTCTGCCTTTGGCTCAGGTCACGATCTCAGGGTCCTGGGGTCGAGCCCCACGTCAGGCTCCCTGCACAGTGAAGAGCCTGTTTCTCCCTCTCCCTATGCTCACCCCCCACCCACTCAGCTCCCTCTCTTGCTCTCACTCTATCACAAATAAAATCTTTTTTAAAGAACCTGTTCTTGGAGGGGTGCCTGCGGCTCAGTCGGTTAAGTGTCCGACTCTTGATTTTAGCTCAGGTCATGATCTTAGGGTCCTGGGATCAAGCCCCACGTTGGGCTCAGTGCTCAATGCAGAGTTGGCTTGTCCCTCTCCCTCTGCTCCTCCTCCTGCTCTCGTTCTCTCTAAATAAAATCTTAAAAGAAGAAAAAAACAACAAACCCTGTTCTTAGGAAAGTCACCAGTGCCCACGTGATGCTGGTGGCAGGGGCCTCATTTCTTACCCCACTTGAGCTCTTTGCTGTACTTAATGCCATTAACCAGCATCCTCCTTGAAGCACTTGGCTTTTTTCTCAGCCTGTTCATTAACACTTGTTTCTAGTACTAGCCACAGCATTGTTCTTCCCCTTTGGGTCTTCTTTCCAGTTCTGTGTACGTTGACAAGTTGGACGTCATATAGATGCAGCATCTATACTTCTGACTTTATCTGCCATCAGCTTTTTGCAATCTTTGGCTTTCCTGCAGATTTCGTGGCCTCTGGGGTTTCTTTTGTTCTCTGACAGACACATCTGTGCTCTCTTCTCTGGTATTCTCTTAGTCTTTCCTCCCTTATTTACTTGCCTAGTAGCTTAGTGTTTTTCTTTCCTTTTTGGGGGGAAAGATTTATTTATTTATTTGTGAGAGCGAGGGAGAGTGGGCACCAGTCGGGGGAGGGGTCAGGGCAGAGGGAGAGAGAGAATCACAAGCAGATTCCCGGCTGAGCACGGAGCCTAACTCAGGGCTCCATCCCAGGACCCCAAGATGATGACCTGAGCCGAAATCAAGAGTCAGCTGCGTCACTGCCTGCGCCCCCAGGCACCCCGCTTAGTGTTTCTCAAATGGCCTTCATTAAGAGCTTACCAGTAAACATGTGTTTGTTTTCTAGTGGGGGAAAAAAAACCCCTTTTATTTAAGAGGATTTTATTCGTAAAGTTTTTTTTTTATTTTCAGAGCCTAGGAGAGGAAAAAGTAAGAGGAAGGGGAGGGTACTGAAGAGATATCCTTTTGAGGTAAAATCCTGTTTCAGTGTATACCTTTAAAAAATTTTTTTTTCACCTGACTTCGCTTTTGCCTAAAAAACTTGGAGCAATTTATCACCATTTTGTACGACTCACCACATTAGGATTTTTAGACGTTTTAATCGGATAGGGCCTCTTGTAACAGGGCTGGTGTCTTATTTGGTTTTACGGCACTACAGGTTTATTTGGATTTAATTAGGGACTAAGTAGCAGTTGTTTACATTATGGCTGTTAGAGCCCTGTAAGAGCTGTTGAGAGGAATTGTACCTTTCATCTTGTGATTAGATTGTGATTATTTTGCCAGAACATAATTTGGGCCCCCTCCCCCCAAATCATTTTAGTTTTGCGCTGTCAAAAACGCAGTGATCTAAGGGAAAGCAGAAGCTATCTGAAAAATACACATTGCCTTCCACACTGATTTTTCTTAACTAGTAAGTAGGGTTTGCGGTGATAGCGGTGATGACCAAATTTTAGGACTGATTTAGATCACACAAGCAAAATCTTATGGCAGCTTTAAAATGTTTTCGATCGACCCTAATCATAGAATATTATACTGGGCTTCTGAGCCTGTGAAGACATGTACCATTGGTACTTTGGTGTTAAAATGACTAAAATCAATTTTTTTTTCCTTTCCCTTCTTACCTAGTTCCTTATTTTAGATAAGTGGGGTAATGGATATTTCCAAGGCCTGGAATATTTTTTTTTTCTCTCTCACATAAATGTACACAGCCCTGCATTCATTTGGGAAAAGTGTTAAAGTCAGTGCTGTCTAGTGACAGATGGTGCTTTGAGGTTGGACACCTGGTGTACTTTCCAAAGACTGAATGTCCTGCCTCTGGTGCACTAATGTTCAGTGATCTAAAGAGCTACATCTCTGAGAAGACTATGAAATCTTATCTGGGAGGAGGTTGGACACCAGGACTGACAGCAGACTGCTACTCCATGCTTCAGAAAATAGTAAATGTTTACTTTTCCCTTCCAGTTGCTGTCGTCCTCGCCTAACCGTGTTCCTAGCAGCAGGCTGCATCAGATCAAAAGGGTAAATTTTCCTTCCTAGCTCAGAGCTACAGTAGTCTGAATTGTCCACTTCGCTTTTATTTTCATTCTGAAGATTGGGCCATTAAACATGAATAGCCACAGGCAGCTGGAAATTCTTCTGAGTGTGCAGGTGAAACACAGATGCGGCAGGGGAGACAATCTTAGAATGTTCTGCTGCGCTGTGATGATGGCAAAGAAGGTAGAAAAGTCTTCTAAGATTTTCTTCGAGGTAGAGAACCATGTGGATGTGCATAAATACTGTGTTTTCAGCATGTGTTTGTCTTTGCAGGAGGAAGGCATGGATATGATGAACAGGGAAACTGCACATGAACGGTTAGTGCTCCATGAGAACAGGGTCTAGCCTGATGTATGTCTTGTATGTATGTCTGAGCACTGAATGGCCTTTCATTTCTGTTTGTTTTAGGGAAGTGCAGACAGCAATGCAGATAAGCCAGTCATGGGATGAGAGCTTGAGCCTGGTAAAGTTAATCCCATGTTTGCTTGGTTTTTTTTTTCTGGAAACCTTTATGTTGTTCATTGGCTTCATTCATTTTTTTGGTACCCTTCTGTTCCCCCACCCCGTTTCCAAATTTGTATTCATTTCTGATCTCTGCTTTTCCACCAAAACATGAGAGTGCAACTTTTAGAATCTGTACATTCCTATTCTAAAAATGTAGGTGTGTTTGAGTAGTAAAGAGCTGTGATGTGCTGGATTGTGAATTATGAGGAAGTAACACTTGTGTGTTTACAGAGTGACAGCGATTTTGAGAAGCCGGAGAAACTGTATTCTCCTAAAAGGATTGACTTCACCCCGGTGTCTCCAGCACCATCGCCCACTAGAGGATTTGGAAAGGTCGGCTCGTTTACAAGATGTTAACTCTCTTTCACACACTGAGCTGTTAACTCTCTAAAACACACACACACACACACACACACACACACGCACGCATACACACACACCCCACCTCATGTGTAAAGAATCCGATGATGAGAAGGAAAGTGAATGAAAGTCTGTGATAGTAATTTGGAAAAAAAAATGGTCTGTCAATACATGTGTATATTCTCTCGTGTGTGTGTGTATGTGTGTGTGTGTGTGCATATAGACAGACAGCTAAGTAATTCTAAGGATGTTGTTTCTGTTATCTTGAGAACCTTTTGAAAGCTGGAGCACTAAAGCTATGTTAATATGAAATGTGTTTTTTCTAGCAATGTTTTTCACCATCCTTACAAATGTTTGTGAGCAGCAGCGGGCTGCCCCCGAGCCCCGTTCCTAGTCCGAGACGCTTCACCAGGTAAGTGAACCTGCTTTGCAACAGCTTGTCTCTCCTGATGAACTTTTTCCCCAACGTTTTCTTACGGAAATTATCGAACAGACAACAAAATTGAACCAAATGAGCATCCGCATACTACCTGTCACCTATATTCTACCAGTGACATTTTACCAGGCACACACCCACCCCCACGCACACCCACCCACACACACCCCATAATATATTCTTTATAAGGATAAGGAAAAAAATATAAGATTGTAGACCAGTTAAATCGAAATACCTTTAAATATATATATATATATATATATATATTTAAAGATTTTATTTATTTATTTGACAGAGAGAGAGAGATCACAAGCAGGCAGAGAGAGAGGGGGAAGCAGGCTCCTGGCTGAGCAGAGAGCCCGATGGCGGGGCTTGATCCCAGGATTTTGAGACCATGACCCGAGCCGAAGGCAGAGGCTTAAACCACTGAGCCACCCAGGCGCTCCTCAAGATACCTTTTTAATAAGGTTTATCTTAAAAAAAAAAACTGTTGTAGATACCTTGTCTTACAGAATGATTTTTTAAAATCGCTTGAAATGCCGTGTTGTCTCTGATTGCTGTAGGCCAGCTCAGATCATGTTTTGGCATTTCAGTTCGTTAACTTTCAACACGGGCATTTTCCACCGTTTTCTAGATGACTGTCAATTTCATTGATTTATTTGGTGGGCTCTAACATTTATCTTGCATCTTAGAAGCACTTCACATCCTGTTTGTTTATTCTTTGAAGCAGGAGGAGTCAGAGTCCAGTCAAGTGCATCAGGCCCAGTGTTCTTGGTCCTCTGAAAAGAAAAGGCAAGTGTCACACTTCTGATACTAAACCTAGCTGAGCTTGAATGACAAACTAGAATTTGTCTGAAATTAGCTCAAGGCATGAGTCCTTTTTTCTAAAGAAATGGGAAATATTCTTCCCAGCATATGCTTTATGGAATCTAAATTTTGTAAATGAGTTATCTGATACTGTCTATGTTTTTTGTACTTCATAACTGAATCTTATTCATAAATTCATATTACCAATATATATTCCAGAAATTTTTGCCTCTCAGTGATCTGAATAGAAAGTAGATGCAAGTTAATACATTGCAGAAGTACATGCTTATGTCCTGGTAAATAGGTCCCTGAACACGCATATTCAGATATAAGCCACCACCAAATTATGCCTCACAGAGAGAAACTGCCTCATATTCGAGTCCATAGGGTTTTTGATATGATGGGGTGCTCTTAATTACCTTATTTTGAACCACAGGGCACTAAACTAAAATGATCTCACTCGGTGCTAGTTTCAGATGCCTTTGAGGGCCCCTTATGGAGTCTGTTTTAAAAAGGCACAAAAATTAGGAAAGGTTGAGTCATCCTTCCTGGGGCTATACCCGTATGATTCCAAGTGTTGGATGTCATTTATTTTTTTTATTTTTTTATTTTTTTAAAGATTTTATTTATTCACTTGACAGAGAGAGATCACAACTAGGCAGAGAGGCAGGCAGAGAGAGAGGAGGAAGCAGGCTCCCTGCCGAGCAGAGAGCCCGATGTGGGACTTGATCCCAGGACTCTGAGATCATGACCTGAGCCGAAGGCAGCGGCTTAACCCACTGAGCCACCCAGGCGCCCCTGGATGTCATTTTAAACAAGAGTTTTAACCATAATTTTGAAAAAGCAACTCGGCAAGTGGTTTCTTTGTGCAGATCACCTTTGGGGCCAGGAAAACAATCTCACTCCTAATACTGGGTAAACAGGTACTTGGAGCTTTGGTGGAAACTTTCCACCAATAGCACCATGCACAGATTCAAAAAGTGTGATATTTCAGATATCATACTTTTTCTGGAAAGTAGGTTTTGATATAGTGATGATGTTTGCATTTAGTGAATAATTTTTTTTTATAACCTGGTAGTCTTTTACCTTAATGCTGCAAGGAGTTATTTACAACCCTAAGAACCTTCTCAGGAGCTATTAGGTGAAAATAACACTTGGAAAGTAAAGCCATTATTATTGTTATTATTAATTTTTGATATATTGCAGGAAGTTGGAATTAGTATGGTGGTTTAGTTTCAAAGCTATTCCAAAATATACCAGCAGATGGAGGAATTCTTTGCTAAAAGGGCTAAAGTCTTTTGCTAATGAGGTGTCGAAAGTCTGGCAGTAGCTTTTAAAAGCTCCATATTAAAGCATGTCAAAAGCAAATAAAAATACAACTTTTCCTGAGTTGGTAATTTCCAAAATAGCTCCAGAAGAAAGATAATATGAATTAATTGATAATATGAGGGAAAAAAATAAATGTTGCATTTGTTCTTGCTTGCTCTTTTTCTATCAGAAGAATCTTGTATGGCTGTAAATTCACAATTACTAATTTCCCATTGGAACATATAGTTAGGCCCAAGAATTAAGTTTTATTTAATATTCCATTTTAAAGCTCAGATAAAGAGCCTCAAAACTAAGGTATTTGTGTGTTTTAAATCATAGCTTATTTGAAAGGGGGCTTTTTTTTTGTCTTAACTGAGGGTTTTTAGTCTTTGCACTCCTGGTGGCAAAATGTTGTTATTCCGATTAATGCAAAGTTTTTCTGCTACCTTAAAGATATTCTAAGATAGTCTGTAAGAGTGAGATGTTGCCAGTACAACACCAATTTCCTGAATGGATTAATGATTGCTTTCAATTACAGATGGGCATTCAAAGTCACTTTTTAAAGTGTTCATTTTCCCTAAGTAGTCTAAAGCAACCTTTAATTTATACACCGTTAGACTGCATACTTTTTAACCAATTTGACTTTGACTCAGGAAATACTCCAATATATTAAAATAATATAAAATCAGTAGTCTTTGCTAATTGCCTAGGATAAATCATTATTCGCTGTGAGCTTCAGCTGTTTGGGGATGGTTCTTTATTTCTGCTGGGGTAAGCCTGATTCATTTTGCCTGATGCAGTCCGTGTTCTGGTTCTGCTCTTTGTTTAAAGAACAGGACTATATCCATAGCATGCTATAAATAAGGTGTGTGTGTTTTTTTTTTTAAGGGCTGCTTACTTTTTGGTTGAGGTTATATGGAAGTATTATTTCTTCCACTTTAAAGCCTGTGGAAAAACAGCTTTGAAGTAATGGCTTGACGAAGCGTTCTGAGCTTTAGTTGAACAAAGATCATCCCATTTTAGCCCCACGCCTGTATTTGTAAAGTTGTTTTACGGTAGCATTCATCTCTTTCTGTTGTAGGTGAAATGGAGACAGAAAGCCAGCCCAAGAGGCTCTTCCAAGGCACTACCAGCATGCTGTCTCCAGAGGCTGCACAACTGTCTGATCTCAGTTCATGGTAAAAAATGAAAGCAAATCCGAAGGATGTTAGGGGATGATCTATTAAAAAAGAGCCACATCTGAAGTATGTTGGGATCATTTGGAATAACATTTGGCTTTTTATTCATGCTCTATAGAGGGGAAGGCTCCAGGGAGGTACAGAGAATGTGAAAAAAAGATCATTTGAAAGTCATTGAGTACTCCTTCGGAAGTGTGTGTATGTTTCTGGCACCTTCCCTTTCCTCCCTAGCTCCTGTTAGGTCAGCCTCTCTCGGTAGGTGCTAATGGTGTGGGAGCGTGGCAACAGCTGGATGGCGTGAGAGAGTTTCCAGGTTGGTGTGGATAATGTGCATTGATTGTAGCTGCTCTGCCTGCATTTTGTATTATATCCTTTGACTTAGCAGGGAAGACCAGCATCCTCTGAAGCATGGCGTTTTCTATAGCATTTTCTGTTATAAAGTGTTTTTGAAATTTGGGGGGTGTTCTGTCACAGTCCTACCCAGGTTTTGTTTTTTAGTATAAAAAGAAGTGTTAGTATAAAAACACTTCCTGATTCCCGTGGTCTAGTCACATAATATTTTTTTTCAGCCATACTCATCTAACTTAAGGCCCTTCAGTGTTTCGGTGCAGAAGTTAATATCTTTTCATGTACCTGAAGTCGAGTACTTGAATGCTGACATATATTGGAAGGAAGGGGAAGGGATAGTGGCAGTGGCCGGGTAATACTTTGAATTCTTTCAGTATTTACTTCTTTTTAAAAAATTTTTTAAAAGATTTAATTTATTTATTTATTTGAGAGATCACGAGTGAGAGAACACAAGTGGGGGGGTGGTGGCAGAGGGAGAAGGAGAGGCAGGGAGCCCGATGCGGGGCTCCATCCCAGGACTCTGGGATCGTGACCTGAGCCGAAGGCAGATGCTTAACCAGCCAAGCCACCCTCGTGCCCCTTGGCACCTATTTCTAATCAATTCACTGAGCCCCTGTGTTCTAGACACAACTGTGTAGTGCCTTTCAGTACTTTTGTTGCCTGAGTTTTATAGCTGAGGATCTTTTTTAAGAGCCCAAAAGTGCATTCACTTTAGAAATATAAGGATGGTGTCCTCTAAATGGAGGAATTGTGCACGCCACTTATAAGGTATAAAGATTAGTGATTCTTCCTTTCCAGATCACATATTTATTGTTTTGTGTAAGATAACCTGCACTTGTAGTTGACCAAGAAGTCACAGATTCTTCTAGTTTATTAGACTTGTTGATCAGTACTGTTCTAACCTTGGAACAGATGCCTTTTAGATTGTTCTAGCTATTTTCAGCCCCACAGTCTCTCCTCTATCATCTATGTCTGTCCTTGGTAGCTCAGTGTGCTAATTTTGGCATAGAGAGCCTTTCCAGGTATGTAGATGATTGCAAAGAGAAAACTTCTAAAGCTTGTCAAGAGGACTAGTGGATGAAACTCTACACTTAGTGGAAACTGCCTATCACTTTTATGGTAAAGTGTGTTTTAATATAGGCACATGACAGTATAAATAGCTTTGCTTACCCAGTTGCTAACCAAGTGACCAAGTTAGGGAGAAGATAAGGAAGCATTTCGCCAAGCTGAAAACACAGAGGGTAAGGCGATTTTTAAAAAAATATTGTCATAGACTGTACAGGATGCCATAAAACAATAAAAAAGGAAGGAAAGCAAAGGGTCTGGGATTTATGAAGGGTCCTCACCCCTTGTCCAGACGTTTATTCCTCTGAATAGCAAAACCCAAGTTGTCAACGATGGTGGCTATGGTGAGGGTCCTATTTATGTTACCACCACTCCCATTCTTTCTCCTTAGAACTGTCACTAACTGTGAGAGCACTGGAGACATCGACATTGGTGATTAAGGGCATTTTTGATCCATAAAGACAAAAACCATTGCCTCACACTGGAAAGATTCACTTCCTTCATGGCCAGTCAGAGCAGTAACAAGCCAACGTGTGGCTCAAGTAATAGGTTGAAGTTTATTGTCCAAATTCACAAAACTAAGTGTGAAAGATATTTAAGCAATTAAACTTTAAAAGGTATTTTCAGTAAGTTTGTAGCATTTGGACTCCTGAGGATATTAAAAGCTTAAGATTGCTCTGACTTTTGGGGTACCTTGTTGACATTTATGTTTGCAATGAAGAGATTTTGAACAGGAGTTATTCGTGATTTGTAAAAATTGGATGCTGCTTTTGCAAAACCTTTTTTTCCTATCTCTATAATGCAGTTCCATTGATCAGACTTTCTTTCATTGATCAGTATTGTTAGAAATGGGGAGAGAGATAACTACCTGTGTTCTGGTTTCTGTTGCCAAGGATAGCCAATCTATGTGATAACCAAGGAAACCATTTTTATACATTTTAGGGAGCAGAAAAGGTCGATCGTTAGTAGATGGCATCTCATCATTTCAGTTGTCTTCGTTTGTCCCCCTGCCCCACCCCACAAAGGAAAGATGGGTTTTTAAAACTTGAAGTTAAACTTCATATGTTAGATAACAGTCATTATAATCTGACATCTTGGGTGTCACCTGGGTGGCTTAGTCGGTTAAGCATCTGCCTTTTGCTCAGGTCATGATCCCAGGGTCCTGGGATTGAGCCCCACGTTGGGCTCCTTGCTCAGCAGGAAGCCTGGTCCCCCCCCACCTACTGCTCCTCCTGCTTGTGCATGCTCTCTCTCTCTGTCAAATAAATGAAATCTTAAAAAGACAGTATATTAAAAAAATAAAATCTGACATCTTTGAAGTGTAAATTAAGCGTGAAGTTTGAGTAGAGACCTATGTAGGGTTTGTGTCCAATGTGGTGACTGCTGCCCACAGGAATAGTAGGCCCGCTCTTGATATCATATTTTTTTACTAGATGAAATCTCTGAAATCTTTGCCAAGCAAATCCAGGGAACGTTGTCAACCACAGGAATTATGTCATTCTGCATTTAGTTCTTCCGAACCTCAAGAATTTGATCGTAGCTTGGAAGTTCACCATTCCGTGGTGCTTTGATTCCTTTTGTGTGCTGGGGACTCTTGTTCTGCTCCTTGTTCTTATGGGAACAAGATTATCTGTTTTTAGGGCCACTAGCCACGTAGTGAAGATTCAGTGATAGTCTGTTTCTCAGACAGGAAAGGAAAAGTTTTCTCCCATGAGATTCTTGCCCAGTGCGTCAGTGTTAGTGTGACTGCTGACTTAACCTTTATATTTTAACATTTTTCACTGGGTTTCACTTAGTGATTTTCACATTATTTTTAGTGGTATATGTGTCACGGCAAGAAAACTTAATCAGGAATATGTGACGTGTACAAAGAATGAGATTTAATCACGATTTATTTAATAATAGAACCGTATATATATACCTTGATTGTGTTTAAGTGAGCAGCTTAGACATCTGTGCTGGTACTTAAAACTCCTATCCCCGGGGTGCCTGGGTGGCTCAGTGGTTTGGGGCCTCTGCCTTCAGCTCAGGTCATGATCCTGGGGTACTGGGATCGAGCCCTGCATCGGGCTCTCTGCTCAGCGGGGAGCCTGCTTCCTCCTCTCTCTCTCTCTCTCTGCCTACTTGTGATCTCTGCCTGCCAAATAAATAAATAAAATCTTTAAAAAAAAAAAAGAAACTATCCCCAAGGTGACTATGGAAGTGATTATATTTAAATATGTGATCTTAAAAACTTAGAAGTTATGTGGAAATATAATGTTGGATCTTTCTAAGATAAGATCGTAGAGACCAGAAAACCTACTCTGTGGACCACTTTAATCCACAGCAAGGGGTAGTACCAGAATCTGTGTGGGGGTTGATAGGGCTGTGGCGAATTGGGAGTACATTTTCCTGCCTGTCCTTAGTCGGATAGAACTCAGTTTATTGACTGCACAAGGCACAAAGTGACTCCGCCAGGTGGGTAATAGCATCAGTTACACTGGACATCCCAATTTTGTTGTTTATCATTTGAATGTTTTAATAATTCTCTTATACTTTCACTCTTACTTTTTTTAGACCGAGGACACTACCTTAATAGTCATAAGTAAAAAATATATGTTTATAAAAAATTAAAAAAATAAAAATTAAAAAAAAAAAGAATTGAAATTTCCAAAAAAAAAAAAAAGTCATAAGTATTTTTGGTTGTGTGGTTCAGATATTGCATCATTATGTATACTCAGTAGCCAGAATGAATTAGAATTAGTTTATTTAAAAAAATTATTTATTTGACAGAGAGAGATCACAAGTAAGCAGAGAGGCAGGCAGAGAGAGAGGGGGAAGCAGGCTCCCCGCTGAGCAGAGAGCCCGATGCGGGGCTCTATTCCAGGATCCTGGGATCATGACCTGAGCTGAAGGCAGAGGCTTAACCCACTGAGCCACCCCGGTGCCCTGAATTAGTTCATTTTTTGATGCTTGTACTCCTGTGTCCAGCTTGAACTATCTAGGTCCTTTGCTTTCCTTGCATTGTCTGGCTTTCAGTCATTAGTCTGAGGCCCATTAATACCTCCATCAGAGTTTCAGCTAGGAAAGGAAAAAGATAAACTTGAATTGGACCATACTTTGTTGCTTTTAGAAGGCCTGACAGAAGGTTTAGTAATGAACGCTGTGAAAGTCACTTTTATTCGGGGAGCTCTCTGTGAATTAAAAAAAAAATTACAGAAGTCTTGCTCTGCACGGATTTACCGACAGTGGGTAATCTGTGACCTGTAGTCTCTGCTTCCATGACCAAGTGTAGTAGTGTCAGATTTATTAGAATAGAAACTAGACCTTAGTTCAGAGAAAATACCTGGTTAACGGTTTACCAAGTTCTGAATCTAAATTATGCTGGAGGCTAAATTTAAGTATGCTATTTTACTATTAATGAGCATAATTTTTCGTATGTTCATATTTAATAATAGAGAAGAAATTCCTGAAAAGGAATATACGAAACGAAATGTTCAGATTTGTATTCTTTTTTTCCTGGTAACTTCTTGGTAATTTCCCTGTTAGCTTATTTCTCTTAAGGTAATCAACTGTGCTGGATGAGAGGTTTCTCCTCATGAGCCATGTTCTGTGTTTTTGAGTGAATACAGGATTCACCTAAGCAAGCAGGTCTTGTTACAAATGGAATCTTTTAACCCAGGGCTCACCATAAGGCCGGTGGTTGGAATAAGAAAGTCTTTATTTATATTCATATTATCTGCTTGGTGGCCAAATTTTAATCAAGGCCTGTTTCTTCTTGCCAAGTAGCACAGAGCGTGTCCTTCGGCTGCCCAGCCAATATGTGCTTTAGGAAAGTAAATTCATTTTAATATTAGTCTAGGCAAAGTGCTGCAGGAGGAAAAATCACATATGTTCCAAAGGCAAATATAAAGGTCTTTTGATTTTCCAATGCCTTAGATTATCTGTGTAACTTTCTTTCAGTAGTTTGAATAATTCATATTTTAGACCTATTTTACCAGTGGGTTGAAAAACAGCAGTGCCAGCTAAATTTTCCGAACTTCTTACTTAAAAGTGCTGTTATTAATGATGCATTTCACAGCAGTGAGCATAGAGTGGGAGTACCGTGGACTGTACTGTTTCCCTTTTTATGTTTACTTTTCCAAAGTTTATTTGTTTTCTGTCTCTGCCTAAAAACAATCCACAGGCAATAGAAAAAAATAGCAGAGAAGTGGGGGAAAGCATTACATGTCTTTGAGGTGGTGGGGAGGGTACAGGGCCCAGAAACTTCCAAGTGTGCCATGGGTTGCTTAACACCAGGAATGTATTAACCTGGAGATCCATAAAAGTGATCATATTAAAAGTGAAGCTAATATTTAGCCTCCAAGCACATTAGACCAGGGTGGGCTTTTGTAGAAGAGCTAGTGACCAGACTTCATCTAGAACCCATATTTCCTGATTCATTATTCCTTTTCCAATTCTGTGCTTGCTTCCCTTTTCAAAATTAAAAAGTGTGTCTCTGCAAATCCTAAAACCACCCGACGACCTCTCCGGCTTTGTCTCTCATCGTGTCCTCGCTCTCTCTACTTAACAACCACACTAGCCCTCTTTCGGCTCCAAAAACCACCCTTGCTTCCTCCCAAACCAGACCTAGTTAATACCTACTCATCTTTCAGATGAGCAGCTCAAGTATCACTTTTGGGGAACGTGTTCCTTCCAGTTCCTCCACATTGGATCAGATTACTCATGCCACATACTCGCAGAGCCCTTTGTATCTTGCTTGTGCTGCTTTGATCCCAAGTTACACACGTATCAGCATGATTCCTTAAATGTCTGTCTTCTGCACTGTACTTCGTAAGTTCCATGAGGGCCGGGACCATGTCTGTCTTAGACACCATCATATTTCTAAGATCTAGCATACTTCCTGCCCTTGGCAGATACTCAGTAAATATTAGAATAAATGAAGGAGTGAATTCAGGCCAGATATATAGAGCATAGGACTTACATGTTGGACTGATGGGACTCAGAGCCAGAAAGGCAGCCTGGTGTGAAATGGTGAATACTGAAGCATGAAGCTGGGTTTATTACGAAGCAGGCCAGATGGATGGTTGGCAGCCACAAGAGCCTAGGCTGGGTGGGTAAGGAGTCCCTGGGCTGGATCCTAGAGGCTCTGGTGCCCAGATTGGGAGTTTTCGTGGAAGGATGGGAGTGGAAGCTAGCTGTCAGAGTCAAAGAGGCAAGTGGAGGGTGAGGGTATTGGGTCTGTGGCTATAGAACATTCCTTCTAGCAGCCTAACTGGATAGTAACTGAAGGAGGCTTGAAGAGATACTTGTAGGTTCTAACAGCAAGAGAAAGGGAAACAGTGTCAGAAGTTCATCAGATGAGAGGAATATAAAAGACAAATGGTCTTTTATATGAGAAATCAGAAAAGAGAAGTGTTTGACTTGAAGGCATCTTGGGAAGGGGGTGTGAAGGGGGAAGCGGTCGGATCTAGAGTAGTCGAAGGACCGTGTTCTGGGGTAGAGGAGCCATGAAGCAGGGAACTTACTAGAGTACTTCAGATGGTCCAGGGTGCCTCAGTGAGTAACCAGTCCTCTTACTCGAAGGCTGATGGGAAGGGAAGAAGAGAAATCTAAGGATAGCGATCTTTTGAGCTGAAGGTAAGGGAACTCGCTCACCAAAATCATGACACGTCAAGGAATGCTTACTCCGTGTTGGACGTTCTGGTGACTCCAAGAGAGCACCAAAGTGGTATGGAACCTTGAATGTCCTCTGGCTATCTGTGACCTTGTTTTTGCAGGTATCCGAATGTAGCACCTTGTGTAGGTCATTGCTGTCGCTTACGCTTTTTATTATTTACAAATGCTCTTACCGATGTGTGAGTTCTTGGAACTTTGTCGTTGCATGTTATGTTTACCTTTATCCTGATAGATGCATCTGCTTATAATTCTTTTTGCTTTGTCCTCAGTTCAGATATTTTGGATGGCAGTAGTAGCAGCAGTGGCTTATCCTCAGACTCACTGGCTAAAGGCAGAACAACCACAGAGTTTCCAGTAGCATGCTCCAGTCCATGCTCTCCGTTCATCTTGATGGACGATCTCTCATCCAAGTGACTTACCCATTTCTGATTCAGCGTTCTTAACTGCCGTTCCTTACATAAAACTTGCAGTGAGGAACGCAGAGAACTTTGATCCATAATGAGGATTAAAGTGCGACAGGCTGAAAAAAAACCCAAAAAAAACCATTCCGATGCCATTCTGTGTGGCATCTCTCTTCTCTAAAAGTTCAGTTTTATGAGTGTAGTGACCTTACGTATGTCTCTTTTTTGCTGATCTCATTTTGGATCTAGTGACTAAATCTCCAATACTCATTTTTGATTGCTCAGTATATATATATACATATATATATATTCCTCGGTGCCTCAAAGAGCACCTATTATAGAGCCTATACGTTTAAGGAAAGCACTGATGTGTATTTTCAACAGTGGTTCTTTTTCCCAGCAGCAACACGACAGCTAAAGTTGATCAGAAATTCTCTTGCTTGAGAGATTTGGGTTTTTTTTTTTGTTGTTCGTGTTTTGTTTTGTTTTGGTCTCTGTTGACTACATAGTTTCAGATCTCTTTATTTCACAATAACAGATGGATTGCTTTCGATTATATTAAATTTTTGTTTTTCTGCATCAGCTTCAAGTACATCATTTTGTTTCCTTTTCCTGTTTGAGCTGCTTACTTGCCATTTCTCACAGAGGGGAAGAAACCCATAGTCGCTTTCATTGCTACCCATATCGCTTCTTTGCCGGTGGAGTGTATGACGTGAGGATTGATTTTAGTGCTGAGAATGTAAATGGACTTGACAGGATGCCTGGATGACTCTCCACAGGTTCTTATGCCTTAGCCACAGTTGATATTTTTCTCCCCAAACCTGTTGCCCGAAGGAATATATAAAATATTGTTAATGTTTCTAGGTGGTGTTATCAAGGAGAAGAAATCCCTGCCTTGACCAGATGTGTGGAGCATCTACAAATGAATGAATAATGTTATTTACACCCAAAGCGCTGTGTAGAAAAGCATGCATGGGGCTTGACAGCTTGTCTCGGTGGTATTACGAGGCCTGAGGTGCCTTGGGGTACAGTGTTGTGCTGTAAAGATGGATGTCTTAAGGTAGGGTAGAAAAGGGGGCTTTAATGTGTCTGATTGCCACATACTGTTTCGATTGCTGCTTTTTTTTTCTGATTACTTTTCTGTCCTTGGATTTGTCGGTTTTGTCGCGTGGTGAGTGCGTGCTGCTGCTGACTCTGTTTGGGTTATCGTGTTGCCACCAGAGTCCAAATCCAGTTCTTGTCGATGCTGCCTCCTAGTAAGGGCAATTTAATATCTGTGAGGAAGCTTTTAGGAGCTGAAAAAAGTCGATGTTACTGTGCATTCTGCTTTTAAGGAGCTGTTTGAGCTGTGAACAGTGTACATGATAGTAAGTCCGAGGTACCGTAAGTTATTTAATTTTTAAAAGAGGAAAATCCTGATAGAGCTATTTAAAAAACAAAAAACCGAGTGTAATCTATCGTTGTGTTATTTATTATTTAAAACCGTGTAAAAATGTCTGTTGTGCTTGGTTGCTTTTTAATGTTCAGACATCGTGGTTGGATTGTCTGTGTTTAATATGCAAATTTGCCTGCTAGGATCACAATATTCCACTTTTGAAATGAATGTAAGAAATGGAAACTACTGCCCCTGTGTCCTTTGAAGGCAAAGATTCTGAATTTTGAAGGAAGATGATGCGCTTTGAGGGGGCTCACAGAATAGTCCTACCGTATGGCTTGAGGGGAAAGCTGTCCTCTTTGGCTTACAAGAGAGCATCACTTAGCTTTGCAGTGAGTAGTTCTGGCATCCGAGGTGGTGTTGATCCTAAACTATACTAACCGCCCCGATGGCCATTAACGGCTTGATTTCTCGTATTGCTTTCGCCCGTGCAAGGTCCCTCAGCTTTCAAGCGCAACATCAATGTACATACTATGAAGCGTGTTCCCTAGCGCGCCATTTTTAAAGAATTACTTTGATGGTATCCAGTGTGTCTGTCCTGTTTCTGAAAGAACCGCATTCAAATGTTTCTGCCCATATAATGCCGAGAGATGGTTTTCTCTTTTACAGGCTAATCATCCACTTCCGCACTACTGTCTCCTTTGCCTTAAAGGGATACTTTTGGCCATGATATTTTTTTGGCTCTAATTTAGGACTCGTAAGAAACAACCTTCGGAATGTGATGGTATTTCAATTTCTTCTTGAGATCCAGTGGTGGGTGAGAATTGGGACAGGAAATTGTAGTCATTAGCAGTAGTGCGAGAACTAGGAGACAAGATGAATCACTTCATTGTTGAAACCGGGGTTCATTTTTATTGTTCAAATTGACTAGAAAGTTAAGTTTATGCAGGGATTGTTTTGGAAAAAATAAAAGCGATGCTAGCCTTCAGATGCGTTTTGTTGACAGTACCCCTTTATTTTTATATGAAGTCTAATATTTGAAAAGTGGTCATTATTATAAAGTAAAATTCTCTCTTCCTATTCTAATATATCATATTTCAGGCTTCTATTTGAAAGCAAGTACAAGAGATGATATGATAAAATCCTACAGATGCTCTTTTTGCTTGACTAACTTATATAATCATACTCTGTTTCATGATAACTGCTTTTGGAATAAATAATAGGAAGTTTTGTGAAATGCTGACCTTGTGTATATCTTAGAATGCAAATTTAATAAAATGTGTACACATGCATAAAATTCTATACAAGTTTTCCAAGTCTATCTCTTTTATCCTTACTAATAATTATTTTCTGCCTCCGTGTCCCAGTATCCCACGCTCTGTGTCTAATTGCAGTCAAGTTTGGAGTAAAAGGATACCAGGAGCTCAGAAGAATAGCCGCATTGATGTTTGGGCTATCTCCCAAAACAAAAAGAAACCTCTCCACCTAATCTGTCAGACTTTCACGAGCATTTTGTAGAATTGGACAATTTAGACAGTTTTTGCCAAGGCCACATATATTTCTTACTTATTTTCAATTTTTTTCTTTTTTTTTAAACATGTTCCAAAACAATTTAGTCTTATGAATAAGGTAGGGGGTTGCAGGTTAAAAAATAAAAGCCTTTCTGCATAACTCAGGTTCTAAACACTCAGTTTTCTTTTCAGTATATTAGAAACATGAACTGGGATATTTCACACTTAAAGAAAGGTGGCAAGAAATGCATGAGGAATCCCTGTGCATCCTACACCAGGTTACCTGATTGTTAATGTTTCCCCACATTTGTTTTATCATTCTCTCCCCCTGCCCCACCGTATGTGTAAGTCCTTAAATATTCACATATTTCTTCTGAACCATCGGAGAAGTTACCAAAACAATACCCCATTACCCTTCCCTGCTTCAATACATTCTCTAAAGACTATTTAGGACATTCTACACAACCATATCACAACGAACAAAATCAGGAAATTACCTTTGATACAAAACACCCATCTAATTTAGAGACTCCATTCAGATGTTGCCTGTGGTCCCAATAATGCTATTTTAGCAAAAAGAAAAAAAATCTTCTGACCCAGGAATCAAGCCAGGATTATGGGTTACACTTCATTGTTACGGCGGGTCTTTGATCTCCCACAATCTGGAAGTCCCCCGGCCTTTCCTTCTGTGATTTTCATATTTTTTGAAAAGTTCTGGCCAGTTTTAAAAATGTCTCTCAATTTAGGTTTCACTCATGTTTCCTAGTCAGTAAATTCAGGTTATGTATTCTGGGCAGAAATGCCACAGAAGCGATGCCGCATTCTGTATATTACTGTGGGGGGCACGTGATGCCACTGTCCGATTACTGGTGATGGTAACACTGATCCTTCAGTTAAGGTGGTGTCTGCCAGATACCTGTACAGTTAGTTTTCCCTTTGAAATTAATAAAATACTTTGTGTGGGGATACTTTGACAGTGTATTAAGTATCTTGTGTCCTCAAACTTTCGCTAGTTTTAGGATCCATTGATCTTCCATGCTTGATGGTAGTAAGATGGCCACCTAATCGTGACCCTCCTTCTATTATTCTTTCTACATTTGCTAGTTGGCATTCTACTGTAAAAAAGGAATTTCCCTTCACCATTTATTTGCATCAGTGTGGACTTGTGAACTCCTGTTTTAGTCATTGGGTTTTAAGTCATTTTCATTATTGGGGCACCTGGGTGGTACATTTGGTTAAACGTCTGACTCTTGATTTTGGCTCAGGTCACGATCTCAGGGTCTTGAGATGGAGCCCTGTTTGGGGCTCTGCTGTCAGCACAGTCCGCTTGAGATTCTCCGTCTCCTCCCACTCACGCATGTGTGCACACACTCTCTCTCTCTCTCTCTCTAAATAAAGTCTTTAAAAAATAATTTTCATTATTTTGATATTCACATCTCAGATTCGGACAGTTGAGAGCCCCTCCAAGCTGGCTCCTGTGTCCTTTTGAAAAACCTCGGGGGTTTTTTCGAGCAGTGTTTCACAACCTGGCTTAAGATGTCCCAGATTCATACTTTCCTTGCCCCAGCCTTGGGATCAGACATTTCTCTAAGGAGCCCCGATTGCTTTTAATGGAAAATGGTATTTCAAAGCCAAGGTATAGGCACTACACCTGCAGCAAGTATAATCATTCCTACCAGGGCATCATGGTTTAAAGGCTTTTTCAGCATAGAGAAAATCTATGTAAATGTGTACACACACACACCCCTGTTCATCTATTACAAATGAGTTTAAACTGGAACCTCCAATTCCAGTTCCATGCCACAGGGTTCCTTCCAGTGCCCATCCTACCCATATTTGTAACTCCATCCTCTGATGGGGACAACCCTGGTCCCCTCTATCCTCAATATGACTGCTCATCTCTCCTGGACGTAAACAATTTCTGACCCTGCCACCTGGCTGCCTCCTCAGCTGCAGCCATCTCCTTGCACTGACCCCGATGTCCTTCCAGTCCCACCAGCCCCGGCTGCCTCTGCAGAAGGGAAAGGGAAGAAGGGCTACATACTCAGGCTTTAAATATCGCTGGCTCCTACGCATCCCGTCTACCCACCCCTCTCCAGCTCCTCTTCCTCTGTGTTGAGTGGTTCACAGCTCAGGGATTTCACGTATTCATCAGTCTGACAACTACTTAGCCCTGTGCTGGGAACTAAATGCAGATTACGCTCATGCCTTCAAGTAGACCAGCCTGGTGCGACAAACAGAACTAGATCAAGCAGTCGACACTCTGGTGTTGGGTGAAGTGGGGGAGCATGGAAGGAGAGCCCCTGACATAACCTGGGCTGTGCTGCTGGAATGCTTGCTCGAAGTGGTAACCTGGAAGCTGAATCTGGGAGAACAGACCCGGGCTGCCGGTGGGAGTCGGCTAGAGGGAAATGGGACACAGGTGAATTCATCTCCCAGAGAGAAGTAATTTGCTAATCGAAGAAAAGGTGGCGGGAGGGAGAAACAGGGCCCGCATGTGGTCTTCTAGGAGGTGGAAGCTGTGCATGTAGATGGAAGTAGCAAGATTAATGGGGGCGAGGATGAAGGACAAAGTCCTGACAAACACAACAGCTAAGAGACAGGCTGAAGGAGAGATGGGGCGGCAAGAGAGGTGGGACAAAAACCTGCAGAGACAAGCCAACATTCTCGGCGGAGCTAAGGAGAGTCGTCTCCACGGTCACTTCAGATGAGGACCGAAACTTCCCATTGGGCCTGATAATGAGGTCTCCTAGAGACTTTCGTGAGTGTGCTTTTGGTGAGGTGGAAGGGATAAAAGTCAAGTTGCTGTGGCTTAAATCAAGGCGGGGGGCCCACAGAGGAAGGTTAGACAAGCAGCACAGTTTGGGCTTAAATATCCTAATTTCCTCTTTCCCTTCTCTTCCAACCCTTGGTCAATTATAACCCCAAATCGCTCCCCATTTTCTCCAAGCTCTGTAGCCTCGGGGGCTAGCACTGTATCCAAAACGTAGCAGTCACTCAATAAAATTTGGTTGAACAGTAACCCCACACTCTAACCAATAGGGGGAGCTAAAAGAAAATTACTCTCATCTGTGGAAGGAGCTGGAAGAAATCCCTGAGAAAGTGTTAACCACACACTGACCTCTAGGAGGACCTTCAGGCTTCTTCCAGACATTGCTGAGGAAAACTCGCTTGAGGAGTCTGCGTCAAGAAGTACCACCTTTAGGTAATATTTCTAAGTTATACCTAATATGTACTTTCTGTTTGTGGCATGTGGGACTGGTTTTCCATTGATGACAGTGATGTGAAGTTTTCTGGGGGCATAGATTTAGCAAACAATATTTTAAAATAACGTGTATTTAAGCAATGAACATAACAAAAAGTGAGTTGATAGGAGTGATCCCTAGATATGGCCCCTTCTCTTCAAAGTAAAATCTGAATCAGAATTTAGATCCAGGGAAAGCATTGGGTCGCAGGGGTGTGTGGAGCTGATGGTATGACGGGGTTAAAAGCTGTTGAATCTGTGTGGAATGCTCTTCTTGGGTGCCTCTTGAATCCTCTCTGGGATTCTCAGTCTGCTTTTCTCCTGTGAAGTGTGGTAAAAGAAGTCTGGTACCTCTCCTGTAGCTTCTGAGAAGAAGAAACCCCTCTGGCACATTCAAGGTCAAGGGGGAACTTGGTTGGGGTTCAGGGGGAAAGGAGCCTAAAGAGGACTTGAGACCTCATTTGCTTGGAACTGAGGTGTTTCCGGGGGACTTTCAGTGCTAAAACAAGGAAAGTCCTGGGCAAACTAGGACTGTTCAGTTACCCTAAAAGGTTTCTTGCCTTCCCTACGTGTGGTTTTTCTTCAGTTTCTTTCCTTACCTCTCTTCTGACTGAAAGAGCGTTTAGGGCTCCAAAGCTAAGGTC